CTTTAAATTTTAGGCCATTTTTCTCTGATTCTGTATTTTTTGTCCATTATTAATAATAAAACTGAGAATGGAAATGGGGAATGTGTCAAAGAGACAACAACCCGACCATAGAGCAGACAACAATATTCTCTATTCTTTATATTTTAGCACCCCATTAATCTCTATTCTTTATATTTCAGCACCCCATTATTCTCTATTCTTTATATTTTAACACCCCATTATTCTCTATTCTTTATATTTTAACACCCCATTGTTCTCTATTCTTTATATTTTAACACCCCATTATTCTCTATTCTTTATATTTTAACACCCCATTATTCTCTATTCTTTATATTTTAATATCCCATTGTTCTCTATTCTTTATATTTTAACACCCCATTATTCTCTATTCTTTATATTTTAACACCCCATTATTCTCTATTCTTTATATTTTAACACCCCATTATTCTCTATTCTTTATATTTCAGCACCCCATTATTCTCTATTCTTTATATTTCAGCACCCCATTATTCTTTATTTTTTATATTTCAGCACCCCATTATTCTCTATTCTTTATATTTTAATATCCCATTATTCTCTATTCTTTATATTTTAATATCCCATTGTTCTCTATTCTTTATATTTTAACACCCCATTATTCTCTATTCTTTATATTTTAACACCCCATTATTCTCTATTCTTTATATTTCAGCACGCCTATTATTCTCTATTCTTTTTTGGATTATGTTTACCTATTCTGTATATGTTTTGCTCTTAATTCTGAACTTTCTTTCCATTGTTCTCTATTCTGTAAACCCAACCAGACCCTCATGATATTAGGTAAAAAACAAGATGGACACATTTCTCTATTGGAATGCCTAAAATATGTCCATGAAGGATTTCTTTATGCCTTAAAATCAAATAGATACTGTAAATTCAGAAACTTTTGCATTGTTTTTTATCGATACAAAAATTGCGATAGGATAGATTTCGCAATTTTTTGTTGAAAATTCGCATTTCAAATTTGAATAGCATTATTTGCATGCAGAATTTTCTGATATCGCAATATTTACTTTCGCATTGAATAATTGCAATAACAAATGTACGCAAAATTTGTGAACTTACAGTACCTAAAACTTGAAATGGCAAGTGTTTCCTGGAAATTAAAACTGTGTTTTGAATATGTATAACTTTACAAGAAATTCTTTTTTCATGACAGTTGAGATGAAATGTTAAATTGTGTTTTTTATTTGGTATTTTTAATTCATTTGAATATTAGTTTATTATGTACTTTTACAAACATACTAGTTTTAATTCTAGATCTATAATCGACAGTTATATCCTATATCAAAATATCAAAATGAAGGTGTTTAAACCTTACCTTTCCGATAAATTGCATTAACTTTAGGATTAACCATTTCTTTGTCTGATCCATCTATTCCACTTTTATAATAAGTATTTTCCTGCTTATCTACATTTTCGTGTAGAGAAATATTACTGCTTTTCACAACATTATCTTTCGGATCGGAATGTTGCCCAACAAAACTATTTTCAATCACTTTCAAACGACGTTCCAGTTTCCGACGGTATTCTATGTCAGTTTTCTTATCGGTCATTAAATCTTGAATATGGGTTCTTTGGATAGTGACTGTTGTTTCAAGATCGTATATCCGTGCACTTTGTTCCTGAACGACATTATCTAATTTCTGTACGGTCTTTCGCAATTCTAAAATTTCTTTATAGATGATTTTTAAATCAATTCCGTCGTTTTCCAGGTTTCCGTAAACATGGCTTATTGTAAGACAAAGACAAACAAAACTGAGACATATTGAGCGAATCATTTTCTATAGAAAAGGTGTGGTATGAAATCTGACAGTTTTTATCTCGCTCTGAATGTTTCGATAAGAATCAACCTTGTAAATGAACTTTTCATATCTCTGGTTTTCAGTTCAGAGGCGTAGGAGCCGAAGTAAGGCTGAAAATTGCTCCCCTCCACTCAAAATATTGAAAATAAAAAAGAAAATGAATGAAAGAGGACACTGACTTTAAAGTCATCAACCTACAAAGTTATACGATATACCGAACAAACTTTTAAGATATAATCGAACTACAAAATATAAGACAGCAACCTACAGTGATCGTCTCAAACAATGTTAGGTGTCAATAGGTCACTATGTCAAGCTCTTAATAGTCCGAGTCTATACATGAAAACATTCGAAACGTCTGAGTAGAAGGAAGCTGACCAGCAAGAATACTACAGAGACTCGAAAATACTTCATATCAAATTAGGACGCATAGGAACTCCAGGATGGCTTCATGTTTTATATACTGCATAGTAACATGTTCATTGATGAAAAGAGAGAGGGGGTTGCCTCCCCTTACTCACTGCAATCTTGTTTGGGGAAGAATTTATATAGGCGTTGCCTTTGTCGAATCTCTTTGTTTGAAGGAATCCAATAACTGAAGCGTACTCTCATCTCAAGAAAACCCAAACCAGTACCTGAAAACTTGTGCAATCGCAATGAGGAAATTTATACTTCATAAACTTTAAAAATGATACAATTTATAAATTAATAAGTCAGTAATATTTGTCGCTGGAAATAAATCATTCCTGAATAAAAAAATAGTCAGTGTTCGTTTATTCAAATAAATCTTGTTCTTTGAAAGCAAATGTTAAGAGAGGCGCTTCGGTAGATGGAACTTAAAGGTACCAGTCTTGTATTACAACTCCAGTTTCCGGTGCATTCAAAACATGGAGCGAAATAAAAAAAAGTCCATGTTTTTTTTGAATTTTTTTCTGGACTGAATTTTTTCTGTGTGATTAAAATTTTATCCTGAATTGAAATATCTATTTGGATTTTAAGAAATGTTGCATCTTTTTTTAGATATCCAATCAGGAAAATGGAAGGATATCATGTTTACTGGAAGTGGTGCGAACTAGTAAAACAGCTGTACATGTGACGGGATTGCTTCCATTGAATAGTAAATACTTAGTCAGCCCGAATCAGTTGAGCTAAGGAAGTACTTCTTTAGCTCAGTCGGTTAGAGCGCTGCCTTGTAACACAGAAGTCCCTAGTTCGAGTCCCGGAGGAGACTATGTGATTTTGTAATGAAAATCATGCTCTCCGGTTACATTTGGCGCTCAAATAAAAATCAGGAAAATGGAAGGATATCATGTTTACTGGAAGTGGTGCGGACTAGTAAAAACAGCTGTGACGGATTTGCTTCCATTGAATAGTAAATACAGAGGTCCCGGGTTCGAGTCCCGGAGGAGACTAACTAACGGTGGTTAGAGAGGATTTCTAGCCAGGGTAATTGTTGTTTGAGTCATAATGTATGGTGATTCTTGAGGTGGGGGAAGTGTGACGGGTTTAACCTATCTTGGGTCTATAATAGTTTCTTTTGTTACCTATTTTGACATCGGACTCGGACTTCTTTTAAACTAAGTTTTACTGTGCGTATTGCTGTGTGTTTGTTTATTCTACATTGGCTAGAGGTACATGTATAGGCGGAGGGTTGAGATCTCACAAAACATGTTTAACCCCGCCGCTTTTTTGCGCCTGTCCCATGTCAGGAGCCTCTGGCCTTTGTTAGTCTTGTATGTTTTTTTTAATTTTAGTTCATTTATATGTTTTGGAGTTTAGTGTGACGTCCATTTTCATTGATCTAGTACACATTTTTGTTTAGGGGCCACATTCACCATATGTAGCATTTTATCAAAGATCAGTCAATTACAAGACAGCAACCTAAATGAATTATCCGTATTATACGTCCTACTACTAGTATGTGAACATCCATTTGGTCTTCATTCGATTTTCGAAGTTTTAGGTACATAAAGATGCTTATATTGCCCTTTAAATTCGGTCAGTAACATTGGTAATATCTACATATAACTTAACTACAACTCTTTTATATTGATTAGGAAATCATTTGATTTCATTCTTGTACTATATGCATGAAGACACGGCTCTTATGTTAAGAGGTTTGCAAAACGATTTTCAGGAAAGCAGTACTGTACACGAATAGAACAATTATGTCTGTAACCAATTTTTTAATAAATAAAATAATCGAAATTTATTTGTAAAAATAATAAACGGACGACAGCAAAGTACTTAAAGGGCGTTTCTTAAAAAACAGAAATGAAAATTCCTGCCATTGGACACAACTGGCCTGACTTCATAAAAATAGGTGTTTCAAACCTAAATTTAATTAATCAAATTCAGTACTACTAAGAATAAAAGCATAAGAATACTTATTGTTCCAATTAAGGGTCCCTGATGTGCAGCACGACATTCAAACACAAAACAATACAGTTACTATGATTCTTTAAATAAATTTTTCTCATTTAAATGAGATATTTCAAATTGACTATTTGTGAAAATTTATTATTTCTCTTAAACAAAACAGAGGCAAAACAAAAGATCGGCACGTCATTAAATATTTTCAAATTTTTATTTTTTATAGTGAAAAGCGACGAAAACTTAAAATAAGAACAACCTATACGAAGATAAATTCCCTTTCCGTCTATGAAGTATACAGATATATCTTTATTTTCTTATTTTACTACATATTATTTCATTTGTTTATTATGAACTATTATTCCAGTGGATTGTATTCTTAGTATTAAAGATGCTCTAAATTCAATTTCATAATTCAAAAGCTTATTCATCAATGATTGCAGATTAATTGAAACCGTGGATTTCTCTTGTTTTTTACGGAAAGATTTTTATTTTATTTTTGAACACACTTTTGCTACATCGTAGAGTTGAATAAAAACTCGAATTCAACAATAAAATAAAACATTACCTTTTCCCCTTTTTAATAAATAATAGTTTTAAAACTGCACAAATTCGTCCGAACGAGTTATGAACTTCAAACAAATGCCAGTTTCCACTTTGTTAATTACACATATGAATGAAATATTTCATTTCGATTGTTTTTGTGAAATTTAATAAAAGGCCAGATAATTAAATGAAAAGAAATAAATGACCCGGTAATAGATTTAAAAAGTAAGACTAAAATCTCGTCATTTAATGCATTATTTTCTTTAACAGGAATGTGATTTAATATAAAGGTAAGACAATGTTTTAAATTCTAAAATATTTTGACTTTTATTCTTGTTTAATTATTTTCTCTAATTTGAAAAGTTGAAGAAAGAATTATGAATAGATACGACGAAGGAGGACATTACAAATGCACCAAGTAAAACAAATATATAGCTATGTACAGAATAATATGCAAACTACTATATTTTGAGGTAAAAACTCATCAAAGATACCAGTGGCTCTTTTCACAAAAAATCTTAAGAGTAAAAATACTCGTAAGTCATACACATTTCAGTATAACTTACGATCAATTTTAATCGTAAGATTTTTTGTGAAAAGAGTCGCTGGCTTATAATTTTGTACGCCAGACCCGCGTTTCGTCTTCATAAGAATCAACAGTGGTGCTCGAATTAAAAGAGTTGGATGGTAAACTCAAATACAAAGTTGTAGAGCTTTCAAAACTGAAAATTCCGAAAAAAATGTGCCAAAAATAGCTAAGGCAATCTATACCTGGGGTAGAAAGACCTTAGTGTTTCGAATAATTCAACCTTTTATATACAGTAAATTTATTGAAAATTAACATATCAATGGTATTTCATGTCAACACAAAAGTACTGACTACTAGATACCAGAGCCCTCGGTCATAAAACTTTACTCAGTGCTCGGAGTACAAAATTTTGTCGAAACACCAAATCCGGTATTTTGATTGGCTGATTTCTGAGTCTGAACGCATTTATCGTACTCGAAATTTTTTATGGCCGCAAGGCCAGGCTTGTAACTATGTATGACACTGAGGCGCGCGTTTCGCCTACATAAGACTAATCAGTGGCACTCGAATTAAAAGAGTTGGAAGGTAATATTGAAAATTTAAATAAAAAGAGATGTGGATTGGTGTCAATTAACACAATAATATAAAATATTACACAATAAAACACATCTGAAAGACATCGTACGGTCTACAACAGTAGATACCCTATAAGTCTAATATTATACAGAAATATATTGACCTGGATTTCTCTTGTCACCAGTTAAATCTATACTGGAACTGTACTCGTTTGTCTGTGTAGGATTAACAATACACAGCCACACCCTGACGGAATGTGAATGTTTGCCCGTTACATGATCCTTGGTGCGACTCTTTCAGCAGTCCGTAGGTGGTATGCTGCCAGTTGAGATATCTGTCCAACCCGGCCGTTCATAAAACATTTTCAAATGTGATTCCAATTTTTTTGTCCCTAATACTAGCCATACCTATTACATTTATTTTTCACTTGTTGTCTTGTTGAATTTGCATGAACTATTTGCCACTGGACTATAAACAATCAGCAATAGCCAAGTGTCAATGCCATATGTCAAACTCAAAATTATCCCGAGTTTAAAGAAATTTGAATAAATTCAACATAGACTACCAAATATTTCCCACAAGATGTTTTAAGGATGTTCGCTTCTCTTGTTTTAAACATTTGTCAGATATTCGGAATGCTTTGGTTTTATCCCTGTGATGTCATTAACAATTTTGCCCGCTAACCCCTTCTTTTCTTTTCACACTTTTGTTCCTTATAGTTTGAAAAGCCATTTTTGAAAATCTTATAAAATCCTTGTTATTTTTTCTAAAGTTTTGAAAGAAAAAAAGTGCCAATGATAAATGTATGAAAAATCCAGACAGAATCATTTACCGCCAAATTTTCAATGGCTAATATCTCAAAAACCTTTTATATACAGTAAATTTATAGAAAATTAACAAATCAATGATATTTCATGTCAACACAAATGTACTGACTACCAGATACCAGAGCCCTCGGTCATAAAACTTTACTCAGTGCTCGGAGTACAATATTTGTGCTCGAAACACCAAATCCAGTATTTTGATTGGCTGATTTCTGAGTCTAAACGCGATTATCGTACTCGATTTTTTTTATAACCGCAAAACCAGGTTTGTTACTATGTATGACAGGCACGCGTTTCGTCTACATAAGACTAATGAGTGGCGCTCGAACGAGAGTTGGAAGGTACTATCGAAAATTTAAGTTAAAAGAGATGTGGATTGGCGTCAATTAAGACAATAATATAAAGTATTACACAATAAAACACATCTGAAAGACATCGTACAGTCTACAACAGTAGATACCCAATAAGTCTAATATGATACAGAAATATATTGACCTGGATTTCTCTTGTCGCCAGTTAAACCTATACTGGAACTGTACTCGTTTGTCTGTGTATGATTTACAATACACAGCCACACCCAGTCGGAATGTGAATGTTTGCCCGTTACATGATCCTTGGTGAGTCTCTTTCAGCAGTACGTAGGTGGTATGCTGCCAGTTGAGATATCTGCCCAATCCGGCCGTCCATAAACTATTTTTCAAATATCATTCCAAATTTGTTGTCCCTAATACTAGTCATACCTATTACATTTATTTTTCACTTGTTGTCTTGTTGAATTTGCATGAAGTATTTGCCACTGGACTTTAAACAATCAACAATAGCCAAGTGTCAGTGCCATATGTCAAACTCAACATTATCCCGAGTTCAAAGAAATTTGAATAAATTCAACATAGACTACCAATGATTTCCCACAAGATGTTTGAAGGATATTCGCTTCTTTTTGTCAGATATTCGGAATCCTTTGGTTTTATCCATGTGGTGTCATTAAAAATTTTGCCCGCTAACCGCTACTCTTCTTTTCACAATTTTATTTCTTATAGTTTGAAAAGCCATTTTTGAAAATCTTATAAAATCCTTGTTATTTTTTCATAGGTTTTGAAAGAAAAAATGTGCCAAATTGATGATAAATGTATGAATAATCCAGATGGCTAATATCTCAAAAACAAAGACATGGATCTTGCATTTTTTTCTTGTTTTTTAGTTCTGTTATATATATATACTATCAATTTATAACAGTCTTTAAAAAAGCTTGTCATTTTGAAACAGACTAGCGAACATCTTTAAGGGGAAAATATATTATAAAAAAATTCTACCGATGACGACTTTCCGGAACTGAGACTTACACATACATTAATTAACATACTCAGTCAGTGGAATTACTAATGGTATAAAATTACCTATAAGACCGTGCATTAATAATAATTTCAGTGGAAAAACCCCATAATAGGACATGATAGAATCGACACAAGCACAGGCACGTCAAAAATATGATTACAGTAACTAAATAAATTTGCATTTACATATAAAGAATGCTTGCAGTTAAGGGACGGCAATTCGATATTCTTGGGCTGGGAAGCCTCGAGGATTTTGTGCGGTTATTTCGAATAAGAAGAAACATACATAAACTAAGCAATTGCATGACAAAGCACAGAATGATACAGTGAAAGTGAAAGGTAGAGATATTTAAATTTTTATCTATTACACTTAACGGCATGATTTAAGTTGAGACTGTTTTATTTGTATATACATTTTATCTGCTTTTATTATAGTCATGACCACGCACGATGGAGAGGAAAAAGACTGGCAATCCGGTCGGTCCATTGCAGAATGTAACCGATATATGTTTGCTCATCAGTTGGGATGTGACGTGACATTTCTTGTCGGAAACGATTCTAAACCGATTCCAGCGCACAAATATGTTCTTGCTAGCAGAAGTTCTGTGTTCTTCGCCATGTTTTATGGAGCAGTAGCAGAAAAAAATGAAGAGATTCCAATCCCAGATATAGAACCGGAGGTGTTTTCTACTCTGCTTAAGTATGCTTAGTCTTTTAGCTCATATTTACTTATCAAGAGTAAAAACTTCAATAAAACATATACCACATCTATATGAGGCTTTGGATGGGGGATCCTTCATTTCTGTTTATTCTTTAATTTTATAGGCCGCTTTTCTCTATTCTTTAATTTTATTAAACATTATTCTCTTTTCTGTACATTTTAGCACCCCAGTATTCTCTATTCTATATTATATTGACCTATTTTTCTCTATTCTTTATTTGTTTTGCCCTTTATTCTGTATTTTTTGCCCATTAATCTCTATTCTGTAAACCCTACCATATTTTCAATGCAAAAAAGTTGGTCTTGATATCTAACAAAGTATTTCGCCAATACCTTTGCTAGGGGCTCTCTTTAAATTACCGGTGAACAAAGTAAGGAAATGTGGTATGATTGCCAATGAGACAACGATCCACCAGAGATTATATTACGTAGATTTAAGATTCTATACGGATAACCGCAGCGCCTTTAACAATGAGGAAAACTCATATCTACCGTATATCGTCAGATATAAAAGTGTAAGCTTTTGTTCCATGTTGAAGGTTTCACCGAGTTTTAGGGATGACGAACAGTAACCATACAGGGATTTCCCTTTGAGTTGGGATTTGCCAACTGTGTGAAGGAATTTTTACATTTTATTAATTGATACGCCTTACCCTTTCATTTCCGTGACTTTAACAGAATCTGTAACACTGTAACAAACGACAATATAACACTTTTTTATTGAAGCCTGTGAACCAATAGAATAGCAACAAATTTATATTAGAAAAATAATCAATAACAAAAAGGACATTTGGTAAGCAGAGCATAAGTCTAACCTTATAATAAAAGCAAAGTAAATTTCAAAACTTAAATTACAGAGAAATCAAGCTTAGGGATAATTTCGTTTTTTTTTTGGTTTTTTTTTTTTGCAGGGTTGTCTCACTTTATTCGATTATAAATATTATAAATATACAATTTCTGTGTAAAAGATGAAAGTGTTGCGACTAAAGCTTAAGGATGCATATTGGATAAATCAAATGAAATGGCAGCCAGACAAACCAGTGAACTTGTATAAAGACAATGGCGAAATTTTACCTCCTTGTTAGAATTTTGACACCACATCACTATTCAAAATTCCTGAAACAAATATAATAAATTTATGCTAGAACATTTCATTAAGCCTAGTATTCAGCTCCGGAAATGGTTCTCCATGTCTGAAAGATATGTCAAATATTATTTTTTATTTCTAATATTTTCAGATATTTATACTACGAAGATCTTGCTGTCAGTGGCGAGCAGACTGCTAGTTTACTGTATGCAGCAAATAAATACTGTGTGACAAAAGTTGTCCGAAAATGTCGCAAACTGCTCCAGGAAGCGCTAACCGTTGACACGGTATGTTCAACAATGGAGAGTGCGCATCTCTTTGACGACCACGAATTACACAAAAAATGTTTAGAGATGATTTTACTAGAGCCTCAAAAATGTCTCCAGTCGGAAGCGTTTCTTCATTTATGTCCAGATTGCTTAATGCCGATTATATCATCCGATGATCTTATAATCGATGAAGCCACTGTGCTTAATGTATTGTTAAAATGGGCGGAAACTGAATGCAGACGACAGCAGCTTACCGTATGTGATGTTAACATAAAGAATGTTTTGGGAAAAGTTTTGTACGAAGTTAGGTTTCCGGTGATGGACATTCAGTTTTTCGCTGATAATGTTGGCAAAAGAGATATACTTTCAAAATCGGAGCGGATCAGTGTGTTTACTTTTCTATGTGGCTCATCAAAGTCTATTCCTGATGACATATTTAAAACAACTCCTCGAGGACAACGTCAACTTCAAACAACGATAGCTCTGCAAGACCCTCAAACTCAACAGAACACCCACACGCCCCAACATAGGATATGCCTACGATTTCTTCGTGACGGACATGTTGCGTTGCGAAATGAAAATTTATGGTATGTAGGTCAAAAATCAGATAAAATAGACTTTTCGGCATCAAAAACAATATACATTCATGGTATCATTCTTTATGGTTGCGGAGTTGAATCTGCCGCTTATACAGTCGAAGCTACCATTTTAAGAGCTGGACTTTCAACGACCAACCTTTCAAAAATTCTTACAAAAGTAGCAATTAACACGAAAGAAAAGACATTCAACATCTTTTTTCCGAAATCAATTTACATTGTTCCGAACATTCGCTATACAATAACTGTAATAATGCAAGGGCCTAGAACATACTGGGGAGAAGGCGGGGAAGAGCACGTGACATCAGACGGAGTTAAATTTGAATTCAGCAAAACCATTGGAGAAACAAATGGAACTGATACCGATCATGGACAAATTCCGGGTTTGATATTTTCAAAATGAAAGTAGTATGATGTTACTTTTATACTAAATAAGTAGAAGTCGTGTTTAACCTACAGCTTTGTAACATAGTTGCTTCGAATACGGGAGGTCGTGGGTTTGACCCCAGACTTCCTTGCTTAACAGGAGGAATTAAGGTAAAAGTTTAGATTGATTGATTGTTGGTTGTATAACGTCCAGTGGCAAGTATTTCATGCATGTTCAGAACGAGAACAAATTAGCAAATAATACAATAGGAAGGTCCTGTAATAGAGGCCGTCCAGGATAAAGGTCAGGGAAAATTTTGACTGTCACTTGACAATGAGGGTATACTGGATAGGAACAGAAATTTTGCCTTGCAACAGGCCACATACAGACCACTCAAAGAGTTGCTGTAAGGGATAACGTGGCACAATCTCTACAGAAGACATCAGATTAAACACCCCCATTCTGACCGGACGTGGCTGCGTTTTTTGTACATCCCGCACAGCCAAACGGACTCCCCACTTAGGCAAGAGTTTTACTGCCATTTGGAAGAAGACCAAGAGCGACCATATTTATATTCCCCAGTCACCTTTAGGGGCTAAAAGTTTATAGCAAAGAGTAGTCGGCTAGTAGTCATACTTATGTTTTCGGGAAGTGTGTGTTATCCTGCGCACTGTTACATTTTGAACTAGAACGTGTCTGTCAAGTACAAAGTAGGACTCATATTCATATCATCTCAACATGTTCTCGTCCTAATATGCTTCTAATACATGTCAGCATTCTACTCATTCATAGTATTGAGCCAGCCTTACTTTTCTAACAATAGATAAACTAACGAGTGTGCATCTGGTATCGTTGCAGAATTTTTAACCAATATATATTTAAATAGATTAAGATTAAAATAATTGAAATGTCAGTTTTAGATAATGAAGCAGTTGTTTGGTAATTTCTTTTCACTTTTTTTTTAAATATGTGTTTATTGTTGTTGTTAAACGCCACTTTCAACGACCTTGAGTAGATTTTGATTAGTGAAAAAAAAGAAGCAGCGACCTTCGGTAGGAAAACTGGCAATTCATATCAAATAAGTTGGAGTCGAATACACCTTGAAAATAATTGGGTTCGAAGTGTTGACAGGGCAATTATCTCTGTGTGGATGAACTACCTAGGCAACTCCGCCATAGACAATTTTAACAAAATAACACGAATACAGAATATCAAATTTTAATTCATGTTTTATGAAACATTCACAAACTCCTCGATAATAATTATATATATATATATTATATACAAATTTAACAAACTGCTAGTACAAGCCTTTACTATAGTGAGCTCGTTATCGGCAATGAAATATAACACGATTTATCTTTCGTTTACCATAAATATATCAATAAAATATATTGCGAATGTCCGTGCTTCATGCAAAATGTGGTTCGATCAACGCATTTACACCCCAAGTATATTACAAAGAAGCATTAAAAATTTTGTGTAATGTAAAAGATGTGCATGAGTAAAATATAACTGTCCTCCTCGAATGTATCTATAGGATGAATTAAAGGGAAATCAGCAATAAATGGATGATGACAGTGCTCATAAATACCATAGGTGAAAAATTTATCAATGAAAAATTTAAGAAAGGTTTGTTCTGAATAATGTCAGTACAGAAGCACTGACTATTGATGTGATGATACCATCGAGGACTAACAGTCCCTCAACAGTGGTATGGACCAGACGATCAAATATCATCTTTGTATTCATAGATATAAGAAGATGTGGTATGAGTGCCAATGAGACAACTCTCCATCCAAGACACAAATTGTAAAAGTAAACCATTATAGGTCAAAAAACGGCCTTCAACACGGAGCCTTGGTTCACACCGAACATGTATATATATGGAATAATTGACAATGTTTATGGATGTTCGGTTTATTTATAGACTAAGAAACATCTGTTCAACGTCGTACAGAGTACCAATAAAAATATACAAATTTACGATTATTTCATTTTATTTATAAATATTTGATTGATATTTGTTGAAAGTTTAGGGGCAAATATTTCAAGTCTCCATCCAAGACACAAATTGTAAAAGTAAACCATTATAGGTCAAAAAACGGCCTTCAACACGGAGCCTTGGTTCACACCGAACATGTATATATATGGAATAATTGACAATGTTTATGGATGTTCGGTTTATTTATAGACTAAGAAACATCTGTTCAACGTCGTACAGAGTACCAATAAAAATATACAAATTTACGATTATTTCATTTTATTTATAAATATTTGATTGATATTTGTTGAAAGTTTAGGGGCAAATATTTCAAGTTAAGTACAAACACATAATTTTATTAATCCAAACGATAGGTTCGACCGTGATAGAGAGCGATAAATTTGGACTCCCGCCAATAAATAAAGGGCCTGATGGTTAGGGGCAAACATGTTGCCTTGATATAGATTATAAATAAACTCCTCAAATAGTTGATGGGAGTGTCCTTTCGGGTGCAAAAATAACGGCACTCTTCTTAAATAAACTTGCATCGGATAACGTTCTAATGATGTTCGGACGGCGCTGCGTATTCATACATCCCAAATATTCAAAAAAAAATTGCCTTTACTTATTGATAAAATGATTTCGCAATTTGACTTCCGTCTAAATAAAATTGACAACTCTCTTGTTGTCACTAGCATGGTGATATTTTTCAAATTGTCGAAAATTGTAACCATTGAACATACAGAAGTTAGTATAAAAGTATTCCAGACCCATTCTAGCTAGCTACATCACAATTTAAGTTCAGCGTATTTTTTTGTTGACTTCAAAGCAAGGCTAGTGTTTGATATTATACGGCAAATGACTGTATATCACGAATGTGTATATAAACTTTTAAGTTGGATTCTAAATAAGTTTTACATCAACATGATTGTAGAATGGTCTTCATTAAATAAATTCCTCAAATAGTTGATGGGAGTGTTTGTTGTTGTTGTTAAACGCCACTTTCAACGACCTTGGGTATATCTTCTTATATCTATGAATACAAAGATGATATTTGATCGTCTGGTCCATACCACTGTTGAGGGACTGTTAGTCCTCGATGGTATCATCACATCAATAGTCAGTGCTTCTGTACTGACATAATTCAGATCAAACCTTTCTTAAATTTTCCATTGATAAACTTAGAAATTATTAAGAAACTAAGAATTCAACTCTTTCAGGCACAGTTGACCTCAGATGTATTTGGCTATTATATTTAGATCCCCTTTTGGTCATATACCTCTTCAAAAGTTTCGGGTCTTTTACATCCTTGACTTTCAAATGTTTGGCTTTGGGCGTTCCAGATGACGGTCAACCCAGAAATGCGCTTTGGTGCATACAACTTATTTAGTGGTATTTTCATACTGAAGAAAAGGAATAAAAGCCCTGTTCATTGGTAATTTTCTATGTTTTCTATATATTGTGTGCGATTTTGTCCCATGTACATTTACTCCATATCCTTTCATTTTCTATTTCTTTATGCATATGGCTCTGTAACAGATGAATTACTTGATTGGTGAAAACAAAATTGCTATATTATTAAATTGAGCAATGTTTATTTCATTGGATTACGCATTTCAGGAAATTTGATTCTTTTAAATTGTTATACAAGTTGGAGGTTTAAAATCAAAGGTGAGGAGTACAATGAGGACTAACCGGATGTATATCTGGTTTTTCGTTATATTTTGAAATCACGATTTATGTAGAATGAAAAATAATAAACTCCTGTTACACTATCATTAGTAAGACTGTCATAGCTAGTTCTACTGACATCAATAGGATAACACTCAGTCTGTTAATATCTCGTTATTAAAGCATTGAATCGACCAGAAACCGACAGGACAAGACAAAGAAGGGAACAACAAAGATAAAAAAACAGTATATAAAACACTGCATACATGTAGGAAACTTTACTTAGGAAACAATTTAAAGTAAGGGAAAATTTACGCTCATAAATTACCATCATCTTTTCTTTGCTTTTTTACAAATTAATCAACATGGACTTTAAGTTTAATAAAAGTTCCTGTATATTATTAGTGTTTGCTTTTAATCAAGGTAATAAAAAATGATTTGTCCCATGAAGATGAATGGTCACTACCTCAATAAAATCGTTCTATTTATTTGGAGAACTTTGTGAGTTCTAAAGATGTCAGGATAACGAAGGTTAAAATAGTCTAACAATAGGCGAAAGAAGGATTTTGGAAATGATCGATTGATTGAGTTTTTGTTGGTTAACGTCAAGTGGCAAATATTTTATTCATGTTCAGGACGAGAACAAATTCCCAATAAATACAATATGTAGGTCCTGTAATAGAAGCCGGCCGGGATGAAGAATGGGGGAAATTTGGACTGCGATTGGACAGTGAGAGTATAGTGGAAAGAGACAGAAATTTTATCTTGCAACAGGCCACCTACGGTCCCCTCAAAGAGTTGTTGCAGGGGTTCTTAACTGCAGAGAGCGTGGCACTCTCTCTGCATGAGGCATCTGATTTAATGTCCCCATTCTGACCGGACGTGGCTAAGTACTTGTACATACCGTACAGCATAACAGACGCCCCACTCCACAATGGGTTTACTGCCGATCGGCAGAAGACCCAAGTTACCATATTTCTATTTCCAAGTCACCATTTGGGTGAATTTGGAAATGGATAACTGTAAAAAATAACCTTGTCTAAGACAGAATGAAAATGAATAGTTTATCATACAAAATGCAGGACTTGCAATGAAAAGTTGTTTACAATAAGTAAATACAATTTTCGTGCTAAATACATAAGACATACTATTAACAGGTGTAAAATGAATATTCCATCAGCAAAAAAATTCCCCCTCTCACTGAAAATCAAATTGTCCACTAAGTCTATTTAAATCTAATCATGTGTTTAACTGAGCAATTTTTTAGTTTTTGTCATATAAATAGGTAAATAACTAAATTTATATTGTTATTATAATGATTTTTATTCAATATATGTAACTTCCATAAATATTCATAATAAAATTCACGTTCTTAATATCTAGTTTTATGTACACTTAACCCGCACAAGGACTACATTGACTATCGACTGCGTGTAGTCTAAACCTGATTTAAACTACATGTAAACTTCTTTTATCAATGGGAACGTATTAGAGTTTAGTTATGTGGTGAGTACACTTACACCACGCAGAGTTAATCACAATGTGAACACGGCATTACTGTTTGTGTCATATATGTGCACATTTTTAAGTTATCGTTAGAACATACTCACCCCATCTCGTCCAATAGAAAATCAGTTTTTTCCCTTCTAATTTTCATAGTACATGGCTTTCCATGCACTATAAAATACTATACATGAATGACTTTTCATTGTAGGTTAATTATGAAAGTGAACTCTTAATAATTACACTAATAAAGTGTACAATGCCCTGAGGCATTTTCCATAAGAAAACAGCCTACTGATTAAAGATAAAAAAGAAGAGAACTATAAAATTATTTTGAATATTGCAAATGTTTATAATGGTACATATATGGAACAAAAAATATAAATATATGGGGGCAAAAGTGTACATAAAATAATCTTTAAATTAATTTTAATACCAGACCTTAGAGTCAATGTCTTTTTTCAAAGAAAACAATGTCAGACTGCTGATAAATAAAGCAAAGGAACTTTTTGAGAAAAAAAAATACATGTACATTCATCAATAAAAAGTAAGCATCTGATGTTGAATGATCGTAATTCTAATAATTATTGAGAGAGTTTTGTTATTACCAAAAAGTATACAAATTTCAAAAAGCTGATTTATATAACATTGGATGCTTTTTATAACCAAGAAATTTAAGGTATATTTAAGCAGAAGAAAAACAATTTATCTTTTTTTGTCCTCACAAAACTTTGTCAGT